CGTAGGTGTGAATGTGAGTGTGCTTGGTTGTCTGTCTCTAAGTGTAGCCCTGTGATAGACTGGCGACCTAAGTCAGCTGGGATAGACTCAAGCCTCCCTGGGACCCTAGTGAGGAATAAGCGGTGTATAGATAATGGATGGATGGGTTGAAGACCCCCTCTCTGAAAAAACAGGAGTTTTTTTTCTTGGTAACATCTTCATTTGACATTTTATTATAAGCTCAAGGTCACATCATGAGTGAAATTAGCAGCCAAATGAGCATTTCTACTTTGAAGTTGCACCATACAAAAAAAAAGCTCAAAAACATGAATTCAAACAGCTGTAGTTTCATACATAAGAAGCCAATCAGGTGGGCCTCTCCTTGCAGAGTGTTTTTACAGTGTTCAAGTAGAGTCTTAGGTCGTAGGTGAGCTGGTGTGCCAGAGCTGTATAGAAGGTCGAGTGCAGAGACTTCATAGATTCATGCATTCTCAAGGATGCAACCGTGTTGTTATATCAAAGCCATTTTAAGGCAAGGGAGCTGGAAAAAAATATAAATATGTAACTTTGATTTACAGAGATGATGAGTTTTTAGGGGTTTAATCAACCAGAGGTCTTAAACTCTTAAGACCGACTTGACATTCACATGGTCCTCCTTCTGTTGTAGATAGAAACTGAAGATAGGGATCATCTCAGAAGTGCTTGACAGAAGGTCAAGAGAGCTGTTCAGGTTTTAACTAGCATCTTTTCATTTTTTGTTTTATATTCATCCATTGTAAGAACGACCCTTGTTAAAATAAATGAATTCTAACTTCAAACACTTCAGGTTTCTTTGTTCAGTGCTTTATTATTTTTAATTAATTCAGACACATGGTTAAAAACATTGTTTGCTTTTATGTTTTGTGAGCACCTAAACATACGTATGAGCATTCTTGGTAACTTCTAGTCTATATTCCATGAACTAACCAGATCTTTTTGCGAAATAAAAACAGTATACAGTAAATAGTGACTTGGCATTGCACCCTGGTGGCTTCCATCCCTCAAGCAGAGGTAACGATCCATATTCATGACCCTCACTCTGCTGTGGGATTGACTCGGGCCGAATTTTTGTGCGGTCGCTCGCAGAACAATGTCTCTTTTAATGACTCATTTCAGACAATGAATTGCAGCTGCTTTTTGCTCTTTTTTTGGAAAATTGAAATAGAAAAATCCTTTTGAATTAAATCATTGAGTGAAATAAATCTGGTGGTGTATGTGCCACATTTGCATAATGTGAATCCTATGGTGTGTGTAAATGTCTGCTACCCTTCGAGGAGAAGTGGGTCACGCTACATTTCCATATTTCACGTGTACGGTTAACCCCAGACTGCTTTTATGTGTTGAATTATGGATGCTGAACTATTATATTCAAAGCATGAATTTTTAATAAGATTTTAAGGAAAATGCTTCACTAATGAAAGAGAATTAATCTCATTTGGGACCTTCGGGGGGTTGTTTATGTTGTCAGAGCTTCAAAAACAAACTACAAAGAGAAATATTGATTATCATGTCTGATGGTTCTTTCTCTCATTGTCTCCTCACAGATGACACCAAGATCGCTCTGCATCTCAGAGACAACCAGGGTAGGTCCTTGTCCCTCACACTTTCATCCAACAACTGTTGTTGCCGCTGCTCCCTGTTGTTTTCATGCCTCTGTTTGTCGCTCTGTCTGCCTCCTGGTTTGATTTTACCGCTGCAGCTATTGGTCCCTGAGTGCTTTTTTATCTTTTTGATGGACGTACGGCTCAGTCAGCTGATAGACTTTATCCAGCAGCCAGCTGTAATGTTTAACTGTCCTCTGCAAGGTTTCAACGATCAATTATGGTGTCTGGACTGGTGAGGAGGAACGCAGTGGAGAGTAGAGGGAGCTCACACAAAAGTTATGGAAGGATTTACTTATGCTTTATATTCAAAAAGCAATCTACTGTGTTTATATGTGTTGAGTTTGCCGTTTCTTCATTCCTGCAAGGCAGTGCAGAATGTAGCGGTAATTATAATTTAGTAAAAGATAAGAATACTGTTGCTTTTTTAACTAAACCGATCAACTAAAGTGAAAATCTCTTGGGAGGGGAGTTTTAAATATCTACATAAACAGAATTTTGTTGTGTAACATTCTGTCTTCTCACTTTTCAAGCAAAAATCTCAAACATTTGGTTCTCATCCTGTGGAGTCAACACTTCTTGTCTTTGTTTGGATGATGAAGTTGCCAAAGTTTCAAAACTCAGACTTTCTTTTAATCAGTTGCTGTTCATCATGAATCAAGTTTAAAAAAAAGATAAGATTTAATGTTAATCCTAGACTGGGGAAACAGCATGGCAAAACAAAGCTTTTGATCATATTACATGATCTTCTTCAGCAGTTAGTGTTGCCCAGTTGTTGTGGAATTGTGGATTAAAATAAATTTAAGATTAGCATAATGTAGTCAGATAGGTAGAAACCTGAACATCTGCAACACCAAGACAATAGTGACAAATCCATCTGCTGAGGAGCTTCATGTGATGTGATCGAAAGCTAAAAGTTGGGAAGATGTTTTCCTTGTACTAGTGTACTGTATGTTCTTAAAGGTTCTACGTACAGCATCTAGGTTGCTTCAAGTCTGAATCCCTGTATTTAGACTTGTTTTTTTTTTCCATCTGCTATCTGTATGTAACCACTTTTCAAAACATCATCTGCAACTAAAAACAACATCAACAGCCTCCAGTCAGTAACCTATACGGTAATAATTTCCACTTTTGCTCAAGATTGTTGATCGTGCAGTAAGCAGTGCTCGCTTCTGTCAGTAAATTAGCCATTTTAATGACTGTGCTCTTCTGGTGTGTTCAACCAAAACATTCCCCCGTTACTATTTTGCTGGGACAACGTTGCTGCATCCTGGGCTAAGCTCTGCCCAAAACAATTGTGATTGGTTTAATAAAGTAAAAACGAGCCAGACCTTCTTTTTTCCTCTCCCATTGCAAAATAATAGTAATAAATAATAATAATAATGTAAATTGAACTGAGGAAAGTTCAATAGACCAAAACGTTTTATTAATAAATATTTCTACAGTGGGCCGCAAGGTAGAGCAATGGTTAGCACTGTTGCCTCGCAGCAAGAAGGTCGCTGGTTTGCGTCCTGGTGAGGACACCCGGGATCTTTCTGTGTGGAGTTTGCATGTTCTCCCCGTGCAGCGTGGGTTCTCTACAGGTTCTCCGGCTTCCTCCCACAGTCCAAAAACATGTTAAGGTTAATTGGTGATTCTAAATTGTCTGTAGGTGTGAATGTGAGTGTGCTTGGTTGTCTGTCTCTAAGTGTGGCCCTGTGATAGACTGGTGACCTGTCCAGGGTGTCCCCTGCCTTCACCCTGAGTCAGCTGGAATAGACTCCAGCCCCCCATGACCCTAGTGAGGATTAAGCAGTGTATAGATAATGGACGGGATATTTCTACAGTAAGCAAGAGTGTTTGTTTTTTTTTTTCTCAGTGTTTTAAGCTTAACAATGAGCTTAAATTAACATTTTGAAGGTGCAACAACTCATCCCAGTCACTGCAGCAAAAGAAAAAAAACATTAAGCTGAAAACAAATACCTCCTTTCAGCGATATAGCTTTATAGGACTGGAAGGAGGTAGTTAACATAAATGATGGCATAGTGTGAGATTGAGTCTTTTTCATAGTGATTGCATCCAAGCGTGCCAACTAATTTGACAGCTACTGCTGCTGTTTGAAAATTCAGTATTTCTTTCAGTACGCTTTATTTGCTAATATGTCCAAAACATCCGAGCTCTAAAATGACTTTGAACTAGATAGCCTCTCAAATGTTTCATTTCCTGCTTGAGAGGAATTGGAAATCCGTGGCTTCTGTCACACTTTCATTTCACAAACGCTGCATGTCTCCCATCACTCGAGCACTCTTACGCCGGCGCCTGGCGCTGCGATGATATCTCCCTGCATTTTTTTCATGCATCAAACCCCTTTATCACCGCATACCTGGCAATAATATTATTCAAGGTGAAAGGGAAATTCAAGGAGGGCACAGGGACACATAAAGCATGAAATAATGCCAGCTTTGTTGTTGTTCAAATCAAAGATGATGTTTCGATTTTATGGCTGTAATAACCGCATTGTATTTGTAAAGGTGTAATTAATCACGCCGGGGTTTGATTCTAATTCGGGCTGAAGTGTCCTCTGACCTTGGCTGTAGTAGAAAATGCTGATTAGTGAGAGCTCAGATAAGAAACAACAGGACCATTCTCAGGAGTTACTTCCCAACACCACCACTCCTCAGCACCTGTTTACAAAGAGACTGAATTATAGGTCTGCTCAGTTTGTGTTGTTAGGTTCCTGAAAACCATTAGCCAAGCGAGGGAACAGTTGTACACCTCTGTTACCACTGTGGCACTAATGTAAACCGAAAAAGAACAGATTGGCTGGGTTTCCGCTGGTCTCATTTCTCCTTTCTCAAAAGCTCTAATGTATTTTATTGCTGCCTAAGAGCTCTGCTCTCCATTAGTGCTCTCTCAGTCTCCTCAGGTTCTAGCAGCCATAAGGACAAAGCTAATGAGGAATGAATTCAATCTGCAGAAGACGTGCCACTTCGCCGTGTCCCCGTCTCGTTGTATTGTGCTACAGTGATAAATATTCCCATTATATCATTACCATAATTACATACTGAAGAATATTTTTAGCCACGCTGGCACCAGTGTGTGTCCACCATTTTTGGTCAAGACTGATGTATCTCAACAACTGAACCTGTACCAGGGCGCCTGTCTGAGCTCTTTATGAGGTACAAAATGCCAAAAATGTACTGGCTCCAGCATTTAATGAGTGAGAATTTGCTGTTTGGCTCTAATGGGTTGGCACCGCTCTTTGGATTTTAGACTGTCATTTGGACAAAACAAGCAAATTGAAGGGCAGTTGTTTTATACAATTAACAATTAATTGATTAGTTGGAAAGAATGTGGTTTAATTAACCATGAAAGCAATAGTTAGCTACAGCACATCTTTAAACAGTGATGCTTTAGGGATCTACAGGTTTTTTCTCTCACACCACCAAATGTTAATGTCGTACTTTGATCATTTTAAAGTTCCTCTCCAGTCTAAAAACTCATTTCCATGTATCAAAGTTGTATATTTAGATTATTTTTTTCCTCATGAAATGGATCCCTCCCTATCTTAAAGTAGCTTAGATATAATTCAACATCATTGGTTCACTTAAGTTGTGTAGATCTATGAAGTCCCTGTTTCTCTCTTCATGCTCATGATTCTCCTCAAACACTGTAAAACTACTTCAGTCTTATATGTTCGAGATTGATTTGATGAAAAATATTGATACAGAAAGTCCTAGCTGCAGGTTGGCAGGCTTGATTCCTTAGTTTTGTTGCGCTTGAAACCCTTTAACTCTGAATCCGTACTTTTGAGACTGTCATCGGTGCACTGCAGTGTCCAGGTTGAAATACTCAGCCACGGTGTTGACGGCTTGTTTCATTCATGATGTGTGTCTAGCTTGTAAAATAAAACATCATGTGAATATTTGAAGAAGGTGAAAAAAAAGACTTTCATTTGAAGTCTTTAAATCATATGTGTCAATACCTGTTGGATGTATTATCATGAGCTGTTGTCATTGATGATTCCTTGGCTTTTATTTTGGCCTCAGAATCAGGCTGAAGTTTCAATGATCTTATTTCAAATTACAGCTTTACTTTGCATGTAGTGCAAATGCTGTCAAGTTAACTTAATGTTGTGAAAACTGGTAAACATCCTACCTTCTGACCATTAGCATGGTATCATGGTCACTGTGAGTGTTTATGTGTTTATGTGCCTCAGAAAGCTGCTAACATGACTGAACACTCCATCTCATTTCAAGAAGTTTTTCTTAACATTTTGTCATTATTGTTATGTGCGCAAGCAAAACAGACTATTTGAGATGTCTTGACTCTCAACAACCCTCTGTAAACTAGTGTGTATGATATACTGAGGCTGTCTTAGCGGTTTAGACTCAGATGAATGTGTCGCTTCCAGAGCACTTTGCTCCACCAGGGGTCTGGACAGAAGCGTCTCTGCTTGCATCCAGCTGGTTATTTAGCTGCTAGGCTGTTGATATCGCATTGTGCCTTCATCTCTGCTCAGCCACATGCCCCCTGCTAACCTTCCAACACCCCAGACTAACAGTCTGTCACATCATTTGGGCTTCCAGCTGAACCAGGAGATGGCTCTTGGACTGTATCTCTGGTGGCTAAGCTCAGGGAAAATGGCTTTCTAAGAGAACAGAAAAAACCACCCTCAGACTGTGTTTATTAGCCTCAGCACAATGGCAAGAATGTCATATTGTCATTTTCTCAGCCAAGCTGTTATTCTCTACAAAATAGAGCCCCTGACTTGTTATGTTTCAAACTGACTGACTGTATAACACAGCTTTAATTAAACCAAAATGGTGCAATAAAAACTGTTTTCCTTTGGATTATGGGGATTGATGGTAATCAGTTGTTTTGTTTCAGCACAACAAATAATCCATACATTGTGCTTCTTTTTCCATTCGCAGTTGTGGTGTGGCTACACTGACTTATAGAACGGCACATTCACAGTGACTGCCCACACACATGGGACAGGTTTGATTACCACCCGTTATTCTGTGTGCTGGAAATCAATGAGGCAGGCAGCCAGGGGAGATGGCTGACAAGCTCAGTGGTGGCTATAGCTGCTAATTAAAGCCAGGGAGGAGCCTGGGGAGAGGTTGTCAGGGGGGCACAGAAGAGGAAATCCACAGCTATATGACTAGATCTGGTCTGAACCTGCTATAAATCTGTGTGAGATAAGCTACAATATGAAAGCAGAATCCGAGCTTTTGCTTTTATGATCACTTCATTAGTTTTCCCTGGCTATGATCAGTGTTTCTCTGCTGGGATGTGAGAACACGGTTTGTCTTTGTATTTTGTCCTTCTATACTTATTCTATATATTCTCGTGGCTGACAAATTGCAGATGGTTCTTTCTGTGTTTTCTGAAATCGTGCCCCCCAAAGATGAAAACAGAGATTCCCAGTAGGTTCTCAGGACGCTGTTATCATCCTCAAAAGAACTCTCAAAGCACCTGCTGGCCCAACTTTGAGGTTCAAATATGAATCTGATGAAGTGCTGTAGAGACGAAGAGACGATGACTTCCCAGGCTTGCTGAAGGACAGACTTGTTATGTAGTCGCTACTACAGCCTCCTCAGTTTGCAGTGCCACGACTGGAGGCTACAATAGGACTCTATCAGCATCGATAGACCTGCTTTCTCCTCCTATCAGGACCATGCGCTGCTAACCTTGGTGTGGATTAACTGTTACTCGTACTTGCGGGAGAAGAGAGCCGCTTGTGAATACCTAAACAGACTTCAGAGCAATCACGCCACAGAGGGCCAATCCCACAGTTTAACCCTGGACGTTTAATTTGCTCTCAAAGTGGAAGAAATGTCCTTTTGTTTACCTTTTTCAAAGACATAATAAAGCCCTATTGGAGCCATTGAAGGTGTTTTCAAACATACATGGCTGAATGACATTTGAAAATGTCACTGTTTGATTTTGAAATAAAATGTTTGTTGTTTTTTTGTTGTTGTTTTCAATGTGGTGACATCAAGCAGAGTCTGAATTTTCAGTCATATTGATGCATGTAGGAGGTGAGTGTATTGATGAATGATGAGTGTCCCCTGCTGGCCAACAGCAAAACTGCAACTCATCACATTTGGTTCATGTTTTTATCCCAAAATACCACAGTATCGTGTTGACAGCAAACCAGCAACTACAGCAGTGCCTGACAATAAAATCATGTATGATGGTGTCTGCATCTCATCGTAAAAGAGCTTTAACAGTTTTTTTGTTTTGTTTTTCCAGTGATGCCGGCAGACAGTGCTGTAGACAGGGTGCCAGGCACACATCCCCTCCACACTGGTCTGATTCTGGGCATCCTGCTGGTGATGCTCATCATGATTGCCGGAGTGCTGATCACCGTCTACATCTACCATCACCCGACGTCTGCAGCCAGCCTCTTCCTCATCGAGGTAAACAACCGTCTGGCACGAGGCCATGAGCTGCACCGGGCTGATTCCAGAATGAACTCGTCCGCTGGGAAAATAAAGCTCATCCTTGACCTTGAAAACACATCAAGTTGAGAAAAATATCTCATGACAAGGTCCTTTTAGATGTGAAGACTGACAGCTCAGGATTGACTGATTGTTTCCAAGTTCAAAAGTTGATGAACAGCCTCGATCCTTGAAGACAAAATTGGGGGAAAAAATCCTTGAAGTGCTCAGACAAATGAACAATGAAACACCTACAATATACAACATGACTTAGTTTTGTCATATTTTAACAAATTAAACAGAAGAAAACTATTTGAACTGTTTATAAACCTGTAAAATGAAGATAGGTTGTTATATTCTCATATTTTCCTGCATTTGGAGGCCAAATCCTCAATAATATCCTTTCTTTTTTTTTTTTGTCGGGGAAAATTTATTCACCGTTTTTGTCTGAGCGCCAAACCAGTCCAACATTCATAAGAATAGTGTCTGCAGACAAAAATGCAGACGGTCGTAATTTGCCAGATTGTGATTATTAAGTTAGGAATGTGTGCAAACCGTTGAGTTTTAAGGAGATAAATATTTCTCAAACTTTCAGACATTCCAGAGTCACAGTAAGAAAAGACATCTGAACAGCTGTGTAAAAAAAAAAACCCACTCAGCTCGGTGCATTTTATTCCTCAGTCCCCGACTCATAAATATGCATGAGGATTTTCAGAGGGAGATGATGAAACTGGAGGAGAAGGTGCTGTTTAGAGTGTCGTTCACTGAGTGATGTTCAAACATCCCAGAAAAACAAATGACTCCTTAAGTTCAAAGTTGTTCTCCTTGTCGATATTACAAGGTCATTATCACTCGGGAATTCCCTGATGTGGATTAAAATAAAACCCAGATAATTCATCATTACTGCTGATGACCTTTAGAAACTTTATATAACTTAATAAATGCTAAATGACTCCCTAAAATAGCTCTGGACTGCAGCTTTTGTTAACTTGACTGAAAAGGGAGTAAATACTGCATTGTCAAGCATGGATTATTACAAACTACCTTCCCAAGGAGTCACAAAATCACTTAAAGGTGATCATTTATGAGGCTAGAAAGAACTGGTCCATATTTTTTCACACTTGTTTTCTGTTTTCTGTTAAGTACTGTATAGTTTTATGTCATAGGCCTCAAGAAATTATTCATTTTTTAATTGAAATGTTCACATATCAGGAAAAGTTGCAACAGTGGTTGGGAATCACTGCTCTCGTTAGCATTTGTGTCAACACAATGGTGTGAAGTGGACTAATTAAAACTTTATGGGGATGAATTAACATGTCATCCCAGCAGGTCACACAAATGTAGTTTTAGGTGCTGCAGTTTTTAGCAAGCGCTGCTTAAGCTCGAGTAAATGGAGGATTTTTCAGGGACTATTTCAAGCGACAGATTAGTTCACATTTGGTGCTCTAGTGAGCGTTTACAGCTCGAGGACAGTGTGTGTTTATGGTAATGAAGAAAGATGCCACCAAGTGCCAGAGTGTGGCTCACTGATGAGTTTTATCAGCAAATGGAATCAGATCTATCATTCTTTGTATACGCCGAGGGGGTAGGAGCTTTCATAAGATTTGTTGACAATTACAACAATGTGTATATATACAAGTGTAGCTCCAAAAGTTCTTGGCTTCACCTGGAAGCAAGGGACGTAACTCACATTTTAGGGCATAACTGTTTGCTATAGGCTTATATCACTGTACACAAAACCACAAATGTTTGTCATCATTCCTCTTTAAAAATCAGTGGGTGAGAAGAAAACCAAAAAAGTAGACAAAGAAGTGATGTTCATGGTTCCTGCTATGTCATGGACATTCACGTCTGTCATTCATGACCATGAGGTGATCGGCCTCCACTTGATCGTCCGAAGTTGCTGATCTTGTGCATCTTCGGTGCTCCCCCTGCTTCGAAATCAGCAACCCACTTCTTGGTTGAATAGCAATCCTCAAAAAATGTGTTGACCATGTCTTTGTGGGTTATAAACATATTGTTTTAATGCAAATACTTTCATGATTGATAGACTATTCAACACATGGACATCAGTGTCAAGCTCGGCGTCTTTCTTGTCCAGTTTTTGGTTTCCTCTTCACCTACTGATTTTACAAAGGGCATCACCTGCAAAGAAATGACGACAAACATTTGAGTTTTTATGGACAATGATATAAAGTTTTACAATGCACAGTTCTGGGAAATGGGAGTTACGCCCCTTGTTTCCAGGTGAGAAGTTTTTAAAGTACTATTAGCGCTATCACTGCAAAGAGTCGCACAGTGATCATTTTTGGATCTGTAGCACTTTATGCTGCATGAAAGTTGTCAGAGATGTCAGATGCTTAAATCATGAGGTCTGTTTATTGCATTATATAGTAAACATTTGCTCCTCAGCCCGAACCTTTAACCTTGACTCTGATCTTTACACTCCTCTCCTGCAGAGACGTCCGAGCAGGTGGCCAGCCATGAAGTTTCGCCGAGGGTCGGGACACCCAGCCTACGCGGAGGTGGAGCCGGTGGGCCAGGAGAAGGAGGGCTTCATCGAGTCCGAGCAGTGCTGAGGGAGGAGGGGGCGTCCACATCCCCCGCCGCCTCCCCTCCTGTGCCGGCCCTCCTCCCTCCTGCTCCACAGGGACTTCTTCTCACCGGGATCCTCCGGGATCTGCTTCTCGATGGAGGAGCTCAGTGTACACAATGACTCGTTAAGACTGTGGAATCGGCCCATTGAGCGCTAGATGAGACTGGATACAGCAGCCAGTGGCATGAGGAAGTGAGAAAACCCTGAAAACTGATCCCATTGCTCAGTTCCTGTTGGCAAGGAGCTGACCTGCCGGGGACAGAAGGGAGGGAACAGCACTGACGTCATCGACTCAGTTTGGTTAAGAGTTTGCGCGGCTGCTATCGTGTTGCCATCGAGGGATTGTACAGCCTGACTGCCTAGACTGGATATTGGTGTGTCTGAGGGGGGGAGCAGGGTGACTTATACAATATATATTTTCAGAATCAATACAGAGTATGTGAACAGAGATTTCCACTTTATGGTCGGTGGGGTTATACAGTATAGGCCTTTGTATATCCATCAGGTTTTCAATTCTTTTCCTATTTCTTTCAGTATGTTGTTTTTTCACAGGGGGTTGGCACATTTATCTGTATAGACCGTGGGTATTGCTTTTCAATACCATAGCAGGCTTAATTGACTTTTCCACAGCCCGCTCTGCACAGAGAGGCTGCGGCTGTGCGATATGACGCGAGCTGAACTGTCGCTGCGATCGATCGCTGCTGGGAGTAAAGCTCAGAACTTTCAGAGTCGCTGTTGAATTACTTTGCGATGTTTGGCTGGTTTCATTTTTTCGAAAATGAAAAAGGAAGATTATTTTTGTTCGCTGAGGAAATCTTGGTGTTTTATTTTTTTTGTTTTGAATGGGTGATGGGCACACTCTATCCTTCTCTTTTATGATTTTTTTTTCTTTTTTTTTTTGCATTGGTTTCATTACTGCCGTGCCATTTTGTCCCTGACTAGAGTTTGCACAATTTATTTTCCATGCACATTTATTTTTTCATTTGACATGTGGTACTAATGCAAAATTACAAGACAGGCGCTTGTGAGTGTGAATATATTTTCTGAAGTGTAAGTGATTCATGTGTGTATGCATACAGAAGAGCAGTTTACAATAGTGACTGGATATCCACCTGCTTTATGGGTGCATATGTTTGAGCTGGCTCTGCACGGTTGATTCTTCTTGATTTTTACTCTTAGGTATCAGATACAGGTTGTGTGAGCCAGAAAACACACTGGTCTGATTGGATGTTTTATTGATTTTACAGTGTGGTTTCTTTTTTTTTTCTTTTTTTCCAGTTATGTTGCCAAGCATCACCAGTTCTGTGTCCACGTTTAACAGTTATGATTGGCTCGTCCGTGTCAACGTAATAATGTACATACCAAGGCCAAAACATTTGCAGATTCAGGTAACTCATGGCAAACATTTGTAGTATAGCAGTGACGGTACTGAAAAAAAAAACTTTTTTTATTTTTTATGAGTGGCCTTTTTTTCTCTACTTTTTTACTTAAATGTGAATACTGTTCCAGTCGTCGCTGTCACAGATCAGTACACAACTCAAACGCTCATTTCTACTGTTAAATATTTCAAGGCAAAAATCCTGTTTTACACCAATGATTGTAGACTCATTTTAGAGAAAGATCAATATCCTGGAACTCTACTGAAAGATATAAAACGTGCAATATTACATCCATAAAGTTCTACGCTGAAGAAAAAAAAAAGAAGCTTAACAGTCATCTGGATTATTTGTATTCACACCTTGTCGCCATCACATTGAGACCAAAGACTAATCCGCATCTGAGAGATTTTTCTTTTTATATTTACCTCAACCTCCCCCACAGCCTTCACACCTCACTACTCAGCAGCCATTAACCAGTAATGCTAGCTCTATGGGTTTACTGGTTATAGTGGTGTTTTGCAGCCATTTTTAACATTATATAAAACTGTGTAGTTATCACGGATGTACTTAAAAATACACTTTTGATAACAGTTGACCATTTGCTAAACCCTTCCGCTCAACTGCGACTGTCAGATCATAGTTCAGCAACCATAACCGGGCATAAAAAAGCAGTAAACTGGAATTATGTTTTATGAAACACTGCGGTAATGAAATCTGCAACTGTTAGCATGCTTGGCTAACTACAACTACAATAGTAAAGGAGCAAGGTGTGTAGTTAGCCCACAAATTAAAGTTGCATTTGCTTGTTGTGTTGCATTAAAAAGAAAAGTTCATTTCAAACGTCAGCATTTTGTGGCAACCAGTATTAGGCCCAAATTGCCATCTGAAGAAACGCGTAGAAGCTTGTTTATTTTCAGGTTTACAACTGCTTTTTTCTGGTCAAACTAGCAAATACACAGAACTTTACGTCTGTTGCAGTAACAGTGTGTCTTTGTGAAACGCTAACATTTCTTCGAACCAAATAATTGTGACTCAAAGAAATGTTATAGTGTTCATAATCAGGCGAAATAATTGCATTGCTTCCAGTTTTTTAATATAGAAATGACCCCTTTTGCAATTACTGTACAATCTTATATCTTTAAACTATAACCCAGGTCAATGAAATCAAGTGGCTGAAGTATTCATCCCATTTCAGTCACTATGTCGGAGCTGCAGTCACTTTTTGGCAAATGGAAAAACATTTTACGAGTTGAATAGGTCTTTCAAAGCTATTTCAACTGGTGAAAAGGACTGGTTTGGTTATAATCCAGGTTGCAGAGTGGGTAAAATAATACAGAGACAATAATCGCCAAAAAAAAAAAAAAAGGTATTTTCTTAATTTCGATGAAAACAAACTTACCAAACACATATAGGTTAATCATTGGTAACAATACTTATGTGCTGCCTATGATGGAAATACCTAATAACTCAAAGCAAACAAGAAAGTTTCACAAAGGCATACCGTTGTTATTATATATGATATTATTATATTATATATTTGTGTGTAATGGCTGTTTAATCCAGATAAAAGTAGCTGTAAAAAAAAAAACAGATGTCTATAACTCTGAAAGATGAAAAGGCGATGTTTGAAAAAGATAATTTAAAAGCCCCATTCTACAAAAGAGTAACCATCTGGATGAAAAAATATTAAATCTTCTTTATGACAGAAAGTTTTTTTCCCCCCACAAGTTGCACTTGTTTCCCAATCAAAACAAAGATGGCGGCCGGTAGTGTTAAAAAACCTGCAGTGGTCAGAATAGTTTTCATCCAGATGATTGTAATAGACTTTGAGGGTTTTCTAAGCACCGTTAGAACAGCATTAAGTGTTTTTAATGACCTTCCAGATTTCAGTCACTTTGGTAATTCTAGAGGAACCTTATTCCTTACCTCTGAGAGTAAAAATGTATTATGCTAATATACCTTATGCTATGATATGCTAATTTATCTGAGATAACTGCAAGTTTCCCAAACCAGTAGAATATCTTTGCAGCAGAAATTCTGACATGTAATAGCAGGAAACGCACCGGTGTGATACTGATAACTTTTAAAATGACTATTCAATTCATGTGAGGTTGCTCCAACATAATGTATTTGACATGCTGGCTAATAGTAATAGCTGACTTGACAGAAATGTTTCACCTGTGCTTTGCCTGCTGTAACGGGTCAAAATGTCTGTTAATCATTATAACTGGCTCTGACAAACAGCTTTAGCCTCAGTTAAGACCCATTTTTATCCGGTTGTTGTTTTGCAATAGCCCACTGGAGATGAGGCTTCCAACCAGTTCATTTAGCTACTGTTAGCTTGATTAGCTAGCCAGGCAGAGCTAATAAATTCGGCTAACTACAGTTGCCGTTTCAACCGGAAAAGTCAACGTCACCTTTTTTAATCAGTCTGAAATTAAGGAGGGGTACCTTTTCTTTTAAAATATTGAAACTTAGTGTGGTAAATGTATAGACTTGATATAAAAGGGTAAAGTTGCCACCGCTATCTTGTAACCTGCTAATGGAAAGCTAGCTGCATCCGTAACCAAGGGGAGGGGGTTTAGCTAACGGCTGACATGCTTCATTCATAACCTTCCATCCGCTTAATATAACACCACACACCCAAAGATACACAAACAAGTCATGTATAAACACCAAATTAAAGACTCACTGGCTGTTTTAATCCTACATACACCGACACTTTCATTCATAACTACACTGATATGGTCTCATTGTGTCGACCTCAGAGAACAAACCCCTGCTTTTCAAAGCCTTTCTGATGAATTCTTTGCACAACAGTGTTCAAAATGACAACAGATGGTTTAGTTTAGGAGATCAATGACTTCTCCATGCCTACAGATATATTTTTTAATACTGTTAGATCGATCCCTGTGGAGAAGTGCTCTTTACAAGTTCTTGGAACATCTGCTTGTTGTCCACTGCCACCTGAAACTGCAAGTGTTTTTTTTATAACCACTGTCACAATGCAGTCAGAGAACGTGGCTGACGGTTGAATCTGATCGTAGAAACAGGAGGTTTTGTAGCAGCAAAGTCTTCACTGGCTTCACTGGACGTGACTAATGGCTTTCACTCCCACGTTTATTAATATGTTATTTTAGATGATGAAAAGCAGCATAGTGGTGTTGTTGAGCTAGGTTACTGCTGTGTGCTGTTCGTTTTTCTCTTATGAGCTGGGTTAAACGGTGTTTAGTCACAGATGCAGCGTCGGTTGCAGGAGATCAATATAAACAAGAAACAAGAATTGGAGTTTTCTTCCAACTGTGACCTTGTTTTATCTTATCATGACACTTCGTAGCACACAATAAGACTCAAAATCACACGGTATCATAGCTGTCTGTAATTTCTGTAACTACTGTTGTTTTGATTACATTTGAAATAATAAACAATGTTGTTAAAAACAGTCACGATTGTGTGCATGATGCCTTCACACAGAATTAGACAATTTTTCATTAAGCACACATTTCATTGGATTGTAGAAGCACTTTTTTTCATCCTTTGTTGATTGATCACCATTTATTTATGCAATCAAGCATACATACAGCTTGGTAATTGGAAAAATGACACATCTATGCATTGTTAAAGCTTAAATGCCACCATAATTAATTTAAAAATGCATGCCACAGTGTAAAAATAAAATCTCAGGATGTTAATTCGGAGGAAAGCCAGTGTATGACTGTGGTCGATACGACTTTGGCAATGAAATCTTCCCCCACCTCTGTTTAAAAACCACAATTTCCACCTTTAAATCATCCTGGAAAGAGAGCATGGCAGTGAAAAATGTGCTGTGTGGCCGATTTATGTGAAATCCTCGGATAAGGTAGATAGTGGAAGTGCTTCTCTGCAGATTGGGGAGATGGAGCTCTACAGGGCTGTAGAGAGAAAGCTGAGTAAACAAGTCAGCAGAGGGGAGATGGAGCAGGGCTCAGCAAGCTGGGAGCAAAACAGGCATGAAGGAGGTTTGAGGAAGGAGGGAAATATTATTGACCGGTCCAGGCAGAGCTGTGAGACTCCAGCCAGTTGTGCGAGACTGGACTGGCTCAGTAGTGCCAAAGGACAAAAGTAGAATC